CATATGACAACAGCATTTACCTGATCGAACTCGACGGACGTGGTTCCGATCCTGCGAATGAGTCGCAACACCGAAGTTAGGAACACGCATTGATGGGTGCTCGATCGAGTGACCGACATGACGGTGGGTGTCGCGAACATCTCCTTCACGGCCCGTTCGATGACGCCCATGGTCACGGGCCGCTTTTCTATGGGGACATTCTCCTTTTCCGCTTCTCGTAACGACAGCTCCAGTAACTCTACTCCTCGTCTGAAGGAAAGATGGAACGTGGGGAAAGGAGAAAAGCGTCACTTCATGCATCCTTGCGTCATGAACCTGGATCGCACTCAGAGCTTACCGACAGATGTCTAAGGCACGGCGCGCGTCACCCGACACGGCTCCGATCTTACGTGCACAGAGTTCGATGGCATCTTTTTCGAAACATGCGGCGCCTGCGAGTCGTGATTCGACAATCTTCTTCAATTGCACGTGGGTATACGCCTCGAACTGAATGCGAGTGAGGCCTGAAAGCTTAAGGGTAAGCTCGAAGGGCGACATTGGAATTTCTTCGAACAAGGCCTTACCTAGTCGACTGGACACCTTGTTCGTCAGCATGCGTTCCGGTAAGTCCATCGTATTGGCTACGGCCAGTACGATGAGTCGAGCGTGAGCGAGATTTGGCCAGTTAAAGAAGTTGTACATGACTTGTTGGTTCTTGGTCACGAGAAGGTCAAGCTCGTCCATCAAAACAACGCTGAGATAAACGCGGGTCAGCTTCATGAAACGGCTGCAACTTGAAGCCGCGGGGGACTCACACAGGTTGTCGATCGGGAGATGCGGTGCTGAAACGCTTCTCGAGCAAATCTCCCGCATGGTTCGCGCTAACCTTGTTGCCCGTCAGCTCCTTCCAGAGGACCGAGTATGCTTGTGAAGGCTCGGTCAACTTCATTCCATTGATTTCGACAAACTGAAAGGGTGACAAGTCCTAAAGACGCACGAGATGAGTGAGTGAATCATGGGGAATATACTTCATTGGTAGCGCACCTCATTATCTCGGAGTTCAGTCAATGCACGCATGACAGCATGGACGGTGGCCGTCTTCCCTGTCCCAGGCACACCCGCGATATCTGTATCGGATTCAGTTTTAGATACCAGTCGCGTGGTAGGTGTCAGGAACGAGTTTGGACGATAAGCTCACATATACAACTGCTGCTTTCTTCCTCGATGCAACTGACGACTTGCGCGTAGATGTCCTCGAACTGCTGCTCCCTACAAGGTAGGGATTCCGGCACGTTGGATACGTGCAGTGTCTCTTTCAGTCTATCCACCTCGGTTCCGCGGGTCGTGCGCGCGTGTGCACGCGCCGGGAGAGGAGTCGCGGCGAGTTTTGGTTTTCTGCTCGAGAGGTCAACGAGAGCCCTCCCTAGCCAAAGCCCAAGATTCTTACATACCGACTGGGTGTCTGCTTCTGGGTCAAAGGAGTTCGCGGAGTTCGGCGCGAAAGCGTCCTGTCACGCGGTGTGCCTCGTTTGGTCGGAATTTTCCGCTTTCGAGGCGTGCGGGGCGAGCGACTGGAAGGCGCATCGGCGTCCGAGTTTCCGTCCAGATCACTTTCCACCAGACCTTCTACTTCTTCCTCCTCGCTCGCTTCCCCGTGATCCGGTGCAAATGTCTTTGCAAGAAATCACCGATTAGCTCCAGATTCACCACAGGCAAAGGAACTTCGTGAGAGCAGGGATTCCCACCTCGTCGTGGACCCGCCCATCGTCGTCCGACTTATCATCCCTAGCAGAGTCTTCCTCGATGGCAGCCTGTCTCGCCATGGCGAGCTTCCTGGCCAGACTGGTCTCCGTCGTTTTGGCGCGTTTCCGCGGCTGGGTTGCTTCTGAGGCGGGTAGCAACGCCCCATGTTTCCGAGAACTGAAAGGGTCCGGTGGATCGTCCCTCGTCTCCATAACGTCGATGTTGCTCTCAAAGTTGGCCCAGGTGACCGGCACTCCCATCTGTCCGTGCTTGTCGTCCCACATGCGTCGACAGAAGTAGACTGGATCCGCGTCGTGCACGGATGGTGGCTCGTCGGGGTACCTGGATTTGAAGTCATCGGACGTCATTCGACCGCAAACGTTCTCTGCTTCGGTCCGATCCTTTTCGTTGGAATAGAATATCTCGTTCTAACGACCATCGGAATGAGCTTCGAGATGACCCGACGGCTGGAGACAGTTCCCCCTGTGACCGGAATGACTTACGGGATCGAGGGTGACCTGCACCTTCTTCCTGCCCTTTTTCGCGTCCTCCGCGCTGTAGAGCCAGCGCACCTTGATCGTGCCCTGTCCCTTCTCGTCGCAGTAGCACGCTATGATCTTTGCCTTGTAGGGAGTGTCCCTGTCCTCTGCTTCGAGGAGGGCGCAGTCGTTCAGGCGGTAATCGATGCCGTCCTTGCGAAAGCCGATGTAGTGGGCCATGTTGTCGAAGCCGGCCGCCTTGAGGGAGCGGGTGGTGCGACGGGTCGGGGTGGGAGCCGCGGTGGGTTGGACGAGGTCGTCCACGGTCTTTGTGAGAGGCTGCCCTATCCACTCGCATCCTGTCGTCTTTGACCAGGTGGAACGGGACCATGGCTGAACACAAACACAGAGAAAGAGAGAGAGAGACGGACGACCGAAGAGAATGAAGATTCCTGGTCGGCGAGCTAGATGTAAGTAATGGGAACGACACGAAGCAAGGCCCTTTGTTTTTTGAGGGCCAAAGGTACATACCGTACTCGATTTTGCACAGGAAAATGACGGAGAACACCTCCCGTCGTGGTGTCCGTCCCCTTCGGACGCCTTCGGACGCCTTCGGATGCGGGCTCTACCAACTAGACAGGGGACGTCATCGAGATGCCGATATCACTCTCCATGGGCATCGGTGGAAGGACCTTGCAACTGGGCCGCCATAGGGCAAGACATCGACTCACAGGGTAGTTGTCAGCCGCTACGATGCTCAGCGGATTCTGTCAAGCAATCAGACAAGGAGCTGCATGCTGGGCCGGGAGCCCTCGCGGCGAAGAGCGTCGAAACACCTTGCCACTGGGCCGTCAGGTCCAGTGGCAAGGCGCTCTCTCGGATCGCCCGTACAAAAACGCCCGCGTGGCCCAGTGGTAAGACGCTCTCTCGGATCGCCCGTACAAATACGCCCGCGTGGCCCAGTGGTAAAGCGCTTTCTCGGATCGCCCGTACAAAAACGCCCGCGTGGCCCAGTGGTAAGGCGTGTCCCTCCTAAGGACGAGATCGCGAGTTCGACCCTCGTCGCGGGTGCATTCCTTTTTGCCCGTGTAAGGTACAGTCAATCGCATTTGTATTTTGACGATTTCTAGATTTTGGCGGGGTGGGATATAGCAACAACGCTTTGCTCACTTTCTGCGCATGGCAAGAGAGAGACCGCACGACCGTATCCCCCGTTCACACATCCTCCGTGCCCGCATGCATGCATGGAGCGTGGTCTGTCCGGTCCAGTGTACACCCATCCACCTCCACCACCACCACCACCCATGCTCACCGCGGCGGCAGTCCACGGCTCGCAGCCACCTGACAATGCAACGCCACCATCTCAACAACAGCATCGGCAGCAGCAGCAGCATCCACCACCACCCGAGGATATCCCATCAGCATCATCCCTTCCTGCTTCTTTGAATCCAAAGCGTAGGACCTTTGGGCAAGTAGGAAGCGACACCTTCGTCGAGACGCTCTCGCGCGCCCGGGGCTCCAGCTCTCCTCCTTCTGCGCCCACGACCACCGTCCTGCCTCCCAGGCAGACCGTGATGGACGTCGTCGTCTCGGCCCCAGAAGCAGAACTGCTTGCGGGATCCAAAGTGGACGTGCCCGTGCCGTCTTTCGAGGTTCGAGCCGACGTGTCCACTGACAGGCACGTTCAAAGATCTTCTCTCGAAGCGACTCCACCCGTCGACATGCACCTTGGGCGAACCCTCTCGAGGACGGGAGAACCGCATGGGATCAGGGAAGAACCTACCTCGCCGTCGGAGTGGACGTCACACGTCACTCCGTCTCCGCCCGCTCGGGAGGGCCGAGAACCGAGGATACTGACGCTGCCATCGATATCCGACGCTCTCCTCAAAAGACCTTCCCGGAGAGGTCGAAGCGGTGGCAGCCCATCAGGAGCCGGCTGGATCGCTCCCGCACGACTGATCCCTGCCACGGACGCTCCGGACCCCATCTTGGCACCGCCTTCCGTGGCCGCAGATCCCATCCGTTCGACCTCGGTGCGATATCCCAACGTCTCGTCGGAGGAACTCATCATCGTGACGGCGCCGCCGCCGCCGCAGGACCGACCGTTCACCGCTCCCCCACCCCTCCACCCCATGTCGCTACCGCCGACGCCACCTCGAAACGCGCTGGACAACTCGCCTCCAGCTTCGAACCCGAGAAAGGCTCTGTCATCCTCACAGACTCGATCTCCCATCCTCCCCGATCCGATCCCCCGGAAACCCAAGTCGTCATATCTCACGAGTTCCTTCCACGCCTGTCTCTCCTGGCTGCCCCTGTTCGCGGCCTCCCGAGTCGAAAAGTCGAATCGAAGGAGCATATCGAGCTTCTCCAACGTCAACGACAAAAACGTCAAGAGATCGGCTGGATTCTGTTCCGTCGGCAGGCGTCGCATCCCCAACGGCAAGATCAAAACCAGCAAGAAGAAGAGCGATGCCGAAACCAACAACCACCACCGGAAGGGACGAGACGCCAGCATGAGCATGAGCGTGGACGGCCCGCTACCTCCGCCGCCGTCGTTCCTGAAGTACGACCTCGGACTCGGTTCCAACCAGTCCATCCAGACGTTGGTGAGAGGCGACGGCGTCGCCGTCCCGACCACCATGCATCCCGACGTGGCCGTCGCCGAGCTCATGTCCAAGGCCAAGAGGATCGACGGCGTCGCCGCTCCCATCGGGACGCGGCGTGGGACGACGGGAAGCAGGAGGAGGAGGAGGAGGGGGTTCGTGTCGACCCGGACGGAGGAGTCGGAGTTTGAGTCTTCCGACGATGCGTACGATGTGCGGGACGATCGTGACGACGACGAGGAGGAGGAAGATCTCGATGGCACGGAGGACGGCGGGAGTGGAATCGCGATCGGACCTTTGAGAACACGCACGGGGCTAGAGATGCCGTTCCATGCGGGAAGCGAGATCACGCTCAGGTTGCCGCAGTCCGATGATCAGGGAGGCGTCCCTTGGACCGCGCTGAAGCCGAGGCCCTCGTTCGATTCTGGACGGTCGACGGGGACCACGACCGGCGGGGACGTTCTGGTGAGAGGTCCCACGACCCACGTTGCGCCGTCCGGGCAGGGAAAGCACAAGGAGCGGGAGGAGGAGGAGGAGGAGGGCGACGAGGATCACGAGACCAGTCCCCTACGATGGGTTGTGACCGATCATGGCACGACGGAAGAGAACGCTGCTGGTCCTACATCAGAGGAAGGCCAGTCCAGCGGCGGCACACTGGGACGAAGCCATCGAAACTCCAACATCCCCGCTCCCATCACCCTCGTCGACCTCTCGTCACCATCACAAACCACGAGCGACACCACCATCGCCCCACCACCACCCTCTCCACCCCTCACGACCACCACCACTACGGCGATACCCACTCCACCACTGAACCTCCTCGACGATCTTTACAAAGACGTCCTACACTCCAGGTTGGATTTCGCGACGCTCATGCAGAAACACCACCCATCCTCCCCCTCATCCCACACCCACGACCACGACCGCACCAACTTCCCCATCACACCCCCGGGA